TCTAGCTTTTTTACTTTATCTTTCTATTGCTTCATATCTTCTTAAAGCCTTATAATCTCTTACTTCATCTTATCTTTATCAGTTTTAAATTTTTTTTCTTATAAATCTAACTCTGAAAATATCTTATTTAACTCTTAGTTTATTGGCCGACAATAATCTTTAGGAGTGAACATGACCTTCTTGCCCTTTTTGGCTTTCCATACCAAATACCTATAGATGACTTTATTAGTAAATGACCCAGCACCCACTCTCTTGGGTCTCTTCTTGGCTTTAATCATGCTATCAATCTTTTAAAATGTTTTAGGCTCCTCATAAGCAGTCAAATTAGTTGAGCTTATGTGTAATGAGAATAAACTATTTAGCTTTATACTGTCTTTTTACTATTAATGGTGAATAGCTTATTAACTCTCATAAGCCTAAAAATCCATGTTCCATCTCCACACTGATATAGTATGGGCTCTTGATTCATTTATGGGACTAACCATTTCATTTGACAAGTTATGAGCTTCAATAGCAAATACTTTCATTCTTTTTTTAATTTTGCTTTTGGCCATTCGCTCTTATAAAACTCCTTGATTAGGTTTCGATTATGAAGATAGAGTTTGGAAAAAGCATTCTTTTTACATTCAAAATGGCTTAATTCATAGATACAATAATGGTGTGCAATTTAAGAAGTGTGTTCTATCATTTTGTTTGTAATAATTCAATAATCTAATAGTTTTTGTTAATATCATCAGTAAAGGATTACATCATCTCTCAATTTTCTCAAACAAATTCACCACTTCTATCTCAATATGGCCTAAAACCATAGGGAAGATCATCATTCTATTTATTGCTGGGCAAACACATTCATTCCTTAGTCATTATTAGGATATTTAATGAAATCTAACAAAAATTCTCATGGAATACCTTTATGCCATCCTTTTTCTTGAACATGTGAACTATAAGCTCCATTTCTATCCCTAAAATATGGACAAGCTTTTTACGATATCCTGGTTTTTGTTTCTTCATATAAACCCTATCTAGAAATTGAAGAAGTATACCCACCAAAATTGAATACTCTTTTATGATTGGTATCAAATCAACTTCATTAAAGATAAAACAATGATAAAAGGAGTCTCAAAACTATACCATTACCTTAATGAGTGAATTTTTAACCTTCATCAATAAGAGATGTGCAATATGCCCAAACTTTTAATAAAAAACTTATAGTCTTGAAGGAACTATGTTATTTCATATATCTGACAGATCTTTCAAATCATTTTATTTAAGGAACAATCGAACTTTTTAAAGTAAGGTAAAGATATAGCGATGTGGTAAACAATCTTCCTCTTTTCGCTACCTCTTTTCTGACTTCACTTTTACATCAATAGATGACTTACACTTGAAGAACATAAATGAGGCATACACTAGACATTCCGTGGGATCCATGAAAGCTTTTGTTGAAGGTATCTTTAGGAAATAAATGATATGTAATTTGTATGCATGTTTATGAATATACAAGAAAAGAAAAACAAATAAAGAAATTAGTTAATTGTCTCAATATAAAACAAAGGATAAACACAAATTAATAAAACAAATACAATATAACACAACAACATGATTCTAAAGTTCGGATTAATTCCAAAGGATAAAGGAAACATAGCTCTACCTATAGGATAAGCTTATAAGGTTAACTATATGTAACTTAGGTCACTTTTAAAAGGTTTTCAAATTGTTTCTTACATCATTGTCTATCACAAACTAATAAGATACATCAATCATCACCCATTATAGACTATAAGTGAAAATGGTTTAATTTAAGTGAGAGTATTTCGCTAACCTATGCGGAGACATAAAATCTCACAAAGGCGTAGGTACTTTACTCTATCATAAAAGATAAAACTTGAGTGTAGAGCTCTTGTTACGCATATGTAAGTAAATGACAAGTATGACAAAAAATAAATACATGAAACTTATAAAGAGAAAAAATTTTAAATTTATTAAATAGTCTTGGATAATAAGAAACCATTTATTGGAATAACTTTATTTATCTCCAATGAAGTCGTTAAACTATCATAACATAAAGATTCGTGGACCTATACAAATATTTTTTTTATTTAAGTGCGATTGGTTACTTAACCGAATCTATCCTATTTAAAGAAGAACCTTAAGATTAATTTAGATATATTTAAATAATAGATTCTAATCCATAAAAGTAGATTTAAGTTCGGGAATGCAATTATATGTGAGAAAAGTTATAACACCCTCACAGCGCCTATCCAAAGGACGGCACCAGTTTGATTTCAAATTATCCAAGCCTTAAAATATTTTTATGATTTTATCAAATAATTTAATTATTAAAAATTAATCCTAAATTTACTCTAATAGTTTGGTAGCAATTTAAAATAATATTCTCACCTTTGAAGTATTTATGAAGACTAATGTCCCATTTTAAAAAAATTTCATCATCGATTTTATTAATATATATTTTATTCAAGAAAATAATTAGTAAATTCCTCTAATAGTTTGGTAAGATTTACTTTGATACAAATGTCCTAATAATTTGGTAAGATTTCATTGTAAATTTATTTTTAGAAAATTCATTAAATCTTTCAATAGTTTGGTAAGATTTAATTTAAGATTCAAATCCTCCAATAGTTTGGTAGAATTAAAACAAAATATTTTATTTTATTTTTATGAAAAATTGATTTATGAAATTCTCCAATAGTTTGGTAGAATTTATAAAATTTAAATCCATGAAAAATCTTTTAATAGTTTGGTAAGATTCATGAATTTATTTTGAAAACATTTTTTTGGTTGTTTTTTAATGAATAAATAAATAAAATAAAATTCATAAAGGCATAAAAAGCAAAAAATTGTTCAATTTAAAATAATGAGTCAAATAATAATAATAATAATAATAAAATGAAAACATAAAATAAAATAAAAAAAGTAAATACTTGTGATCAGGTTAGATCTTACACGCAGACAGTGTGTGGGTTCACGCCAGTCAAGTTCCCTCCCAAAACGACATCATCATGGTCTGATATAAATCCTAAGATTTTTCTTGTTTCCCTAAAAATCGACCAATCTTTCTCTCTTTAAACTTTTTTTTCTCTGCCTCTGTCTCTACTCTTCAAATCTAGGTAATCGAAAATCAAATTTAATCACCGATTTCTAAAAAACTCATTGAGATTTGGTTGAAAAACTCAACTTTGGCCAAAAAATTCCATTGGAAACTTCAAACCTTCATTCTCAATTCCAAATTTTTTCAAAAAATTCAAAAAAAAAAAAAAAAAACAACAAGATTGCCTAATCCCAAATCCAAATGATTTCTTAGAAATCAACTTAAAAATCTCAAATCACAAACAGAATTTAAAACCAAAATCAGATTCTTAAAATTAAAATTTCAGGATTAAATCCCTAGAAACCCAAAGCTTTTCAAAACTTAAAATATGCTTTAGCAATTTTTTTCCCTCTTTTCCTTGTGTCTTTGTGTGATTTAGGGCCTGATTTATAAGGTTTTTTTAAAGAGAAATTTTAAGAATTTTTTATTCAATAACAAAGATTGAATCTATCTCTAACAAACTCAATCCCATTTATTACTTGATTTAATTTCCATATTTCGTAGTTTAATTTTTATTTCAATTAAGCTAATTTTTTGAGATTAAATCCCGAGTACAAAATCACCCTTGATTCCTTTTCCTTTTTTATTTGTTTGTTGTTTTCTTTTTTTTTTTAATTGATTATCAATTAATTTTTTTATTAAGGTAATAAACTAGAAATGGGAAAAAAAAACGTCAAACGGTCCTATGTTGGGCTTAAAGCCCCAAAACAATTTAATGTCCAATTATTCAAAGTTAATGGGCCTTTCGAAAGCCCAATGGTCCTGACAATATCGGAATCGCAAATTCGAATGTATCTCCCGGACGAAATAAGGTCTCTACAAAAGGCGGTGGCACTGGGTCCCCAGGCTTCCATCCTGGTGGTGGCACTGGCAAGTCGGTTGGCAACTCCACTGGCATTCCAGGTCTCCAGCCAGATGGAACTGTAAAATTTGGAGGAAGCAAACCCTGAAGGCTGCCAAATCTGCAAGCGGATCGGTATCTACAGGCTGTGCGGGTGGTGGCTCAATGATTGCCTCAACAGTTTTCTCCCTAGTCTCAACTGTTTAGGTAAACCAACATCAAGATCAGCTAATTCGTGAACAGATGAAAGAAGGGAGAGATCCACGAAAAGCAGAAATCCAAAGGGCACGATTAGGGGAGACTTCGAGAAGTTTGGCCGCTAAGGAAACCATTTGGAGGAGAAGGGGTTGAGTTTTGGGGAGCGGAGGGAGAAGTGAAAGGAGAGTTGAAGAGGTGGCTGTGGCGGGAACATTGGAGTTAGGTTGTTGTAGCTGGGGCGTTTGGGGTTGAGAAGAAGGATATTTGGGAGGCGTGTGGCTTTGAAGAGAAGGTGAATTAGGGTCTGTTAACCCTAACCTGGCTGGGGATTGAACTATTTGATGTTGCAGCATTTTCAATTTGCTTGATTTCTATTACTATTTGTTCCCAATCAAAATTTTTCCAGGAATTGGAGAGAAAATAATGTGATTACACCTATGGGTTAATAATCTAACAGAAAAAAAAAGAAAAAAAAAGAAAGAGACTAGAATTGCTCAAAAATAAGTGATAAACAGCTGCTAAATCAGAAATTCTTCATTGATTTTAACATAGATGTAGTCTTAGCAATAGCAGCAAATCTGGCTTCCCCTTCACATAAATCTGGGGAAGAAAGAAAATCTGGGGTTGGCTAGTTGTTGCTGGTTCTGGATCTGGGCAGTTTTCTTACGAGAAGCGAAAGGCAACACCAGATGGTCCGAACCAAAAACAATACGGGCTTCAGGGTTTTAATCAGATGCATAGAATGATTATTCATGTTAACTTGAGTTCAATTAAGCTGCTTTGAGATTTATTAGTCATGAGTTAAGACATTATTTTAATGTCTAATTCTAAATAAAATCTCCATTAAAAAACTCAGCAGATTAAATATTAATGTACTACAACAAAGGAAATACCATTATGGTAGGAAAAACCTTGAGGTGAAAAATAGGTGGGAAGGAGAAAGCGACATAAATATAACTTACAATGGTACAGGAACTAGTAGGAGAACCCCCAGCTTGGCGCCAACTTTGCATGATCCCATCTATCTGCTAAAAGGGAAAAGACATGTTCCGGGGAGGACGGACAAGATAAATGAAATCCTCCAAAGAAATCTGCTATAGTCAGCGAATCAATCTGCGAGTTTCCTTCTACAAGCAAGATAATCTGTAATGAGCTCATGAATGTCTTGGATATCATCAGCAACCTGGCACCTTTGACCTTTGTATGATCCCATCAAATCTTAGTCAAACTGAGAGATAATATTCTTGTAGAATACGTATTAACAACCAATATGATAGATAAAATAAATATATCATGTTGTCATGGAGATCCTTCTAGCTACATTCACAAGGCAAAACCATCATCCTTCTTACAAATATGTTCAAATTCTTGTAGTTTCACTTCTATTGTAAGGCATACTTCGCAATTAGGTAAAACGGCTAATAAACAAAACTCACAAGAATATATAAAAAATTATCTGGCTGATAGGTCAAAACATGGTGACAACCATCTAGCCTGATCTCGCTAGATGTCAGGGAGGTTGAAGGTCTGTAGTAGAAAACCATTCTTCCACTCATCATTTCTACCATTTTCTCCAGCTGATGGCTGCAACTCCTTCTCGTAGTAAACCTCCAAGCATGCTGCCCAAGTTCCATTATGGAATTTAGATAGATAAAGATGAAGAAAACAGAAATGCCATTCCAGATGCAGCAAAAGGATGAGTTAAAATGAAAGTAGATAGGAAAAGTAGAAAAATATCATAGGATGTACTTGCCGGCAAAACCTACAGAAAAACGGTTTAACACAATATATCATTCATTTGGTTGTGGGGAATAATTCCCGTGGTAACTCCCACCATGTTTGTGCTGCTGACATCATATGAGGACAGGACCTTCCTCTGCAACCACCAAGGGTCAATTAGTTAAAGACCAGTCATAAAAAAAAATAGTCCATGCTCATTGATAAGGAAAAAAAGTTTTGTTGGTATTCTCTTGAAGTAACCAAGAAGAAATTGAAATATTTGAGTACTCAAGCATTGTAAGTGAATATGCATAGCAACATAATCATAAGATATTTTTGTATCAAAAGGAAGAAAAAACAGAAAGTTGAAAGCAAAAGTTTCCCAAGTCAATAAAATTTGAATGTAAAAGACATTAAGTATAATAGTAAACTTCAACAGTACTTACAATTGGCTCAAAATCAGGACTACACAAGTTAACAGTGAGGTTCCTCATCAGCAATAAAACCTGCACAAAATCACAAAAACAAATTACATACAGTAACTCAGATGATTTAGAACAAGGCAGGGAATGTACATGAATAAAAAATCATGTTCAATCAATCTTCTGACGTTACAAGGCAACATAAAAAAAATCTCTTGTGATAAATAGTGACATCAGAAAACTTCTGAATGCTGACTCGGCAGTTCTAAAACAAATTTGTGGAAGCTTTCCAGTTTTAACCTATTATGCACCTCTCGTACTATTTTGCAATACTAAAATGTAACTACTAATTCTATTGCTTCACATGAAGTTAAATTGAAAGATCAGCCTCCCACTGCATTCATCCATGAGAGGATGCAGAAGATGATTCTATAATTGGCTGTTAAAGCTTGTCCAACACCCCAAGAAAAAAGTTATGGATTTATGTACCATGCAATCCAAAAAAATGCAACGAATTCTAAGGATCTAACAAAACATCAACAACTTTATATATGGGCCCATAGCAATTTTAAAGAGTTTCCAGACAAAGGGATACTCTCATGGGCTACACCAGACGGTTAAAAGGAAGATATAAACACATAAGATTATAGGAATTTCTTCCTAGACGCTGATTTTTAAGCTTTATCTAAGTGGTTATTGGTCACTACCGACCAAAAACAAAGTCATCTTAAACAGTTTTTCCTCTGATTTTTATTTTACAAATTCTACATCATTTAACGCAAATTTGGGCATTTTATGATATATATTACGAATATGAACTGTTGAAACAAAAAAATAAGTGCCATTTGACTGACAGTTTCAAAATTTATTGGATCCATCTCTTTGAGTTTTTGTATGTGCCCTTTGGTGTCTGGATCGAAGACACTCCCAATGAAGTTATAAACTTCAGCAAAATCAGGTATACCTGCAAAACACAGATAAAGCTGACATAAACCATCAAGTACAAACAAAGTAACAAGAGAAAATAATTAGTTATGGTCAACAGAATTACCATGAATCATGGGGGCTTGTTTCGCTTGCTTTGGCATATCAGAACTAGATATTGTCCTACTTGAGTTTCCAATGCTACTAACACCACTGTTACTAATCCTTGCTACGCCCTTTGATCCAATATCAGCTGAATCAGTAACGTTTTATACATAAGAAGTGCTGGAAAGTTTCCTTTAGGAAAGCTAGTCTACTATTATAACAAAGAAAACAACAGAGAGAAAAATCCGTGCCTTCAGCTCCTCGAAGACTTGTAAATTCATCTTGTGGTGGCATGATTTTGCTTGAGGCAGTGTTTATCAGCATGGAAGCTTCATCCCAGGGCGCAAATCCAAGTGCAATGGCATTTATTGAAGAAGGATAAGCCATGGATGCTTGTAATGGCACTAAAACTGCGAATTGAAGAGCATGTCAAATATAATCGTAACCCAACAATTCAATCAATATATCATCACAATCCCTCTTAAAAACAAACCATTTCTAGTCGCCTTTTGTGGGTAAGGGTGAGAAGCTTTGCGCTTGGGGCGAGGAGGAGGCACATGTGCGATTGTTCCATTCTTTTGAACCTTCAAAAAATATTTCTGGGCATGACTTCGAATCTGAAAAGGCAGCAAATATTCATTTAAAAAAAAAAAAGAAACAAAATGAGATTAAAGATGAATAACCTTAGCTCAAAACATCAAATCATTGTCTTTAAACCTGGATAACTGTCTTTGAACCGACAAAATCTTCAATTTTTTTCCAGTCACGGTCAAACCTAAGTCAGCAAGAAAGATAAAAAAACAAGCCTAATAATCACATAAAAATCAAGCTAATAAGAATGTTTTTCTATCATAAAACAACTTTAATCCTTACAGTTTAAATTGCTAATAAACACAAAACAGCTGCAAATCATATCCTAAACAAGAAAGAAAAACACGAAAAAGGAAGTAAAGCATCGTCCTATGAGGTTCATGAAGTTTTAAATGCTTGAACCAAATTCAGCCAAAATTAAGCTCCAAACAACTTGAGTTGAGTACCAAGTTTACAGCATCAATTTCTCCGAATAAAGCATCCAGATCAAATTGACACAAGAAATGACTCATTCAGGATTTTCCATGTTCTACAATTGCCAAAACAAAAGAGTTGAAACTAGGAAACAACACAAAAAGGGAAAATATCCCACTAAGTGAAGGAGATGCGAAGTTGGAAAACGAAGAAAATAGTAAATCAGAGTATTGGGTACTTGACATTCATTTTATTTAAAAGAAAAGAACAAAATTCGACCAACAGTTTTTTACTTTAAAAATAATAATAAATAAATAAAGAAGCTTAAAAGAAGAATAATAACATACAGTTGAAGAGCTTCTAGGAACTTGTCGTGTTCTTCTTCAGTCCAGCTCTCACGTGACTTGGTGATGGTGTAAGGTTTCCTTACTTTCTTTCCGGACCCATCAGCGGCGGTGGTCGAAGACTGCGGCGGAGGAGGCGCTGGAGGATTGGGTGACGATGATGACTCCATGTTTTTCCTCTGTTTCTTTGCTTTCCTTTCGTTTTTGCTACCAAACTGTACACAATATGACTTACTTTCAGAGCAATAGAGATTAGCTCAGTTGTTTAGCGGGTTGAGCCGGGTAATACGTGTGGTGAGTCATCTAAGGCCGTTCAATTATTCGTCTAGTTTCAATTCCTCGTCTATGCCGATTTTAGTATATGGTGTTTATCCATATGAGAGGTCACTTTCTTGTGCGGTCTTGTTCACTAGGCAGTATCTAATATTACAATGTGATTGGATGAGCTGCCTATAACTAGTAAGTATTGTCGTCTAATTGGCCACACCCTAGCTTCCATGGGGAAGGAGCATAGAGTAATAAGATTGGTTGGTAGCAGCGTAGAAGGTGAGCGGCGACGTAGAAGATTTGAAGCCGGTTAATCCGTTGGCAACGCCACCGATGTTTGAAAGATTTATACCGAAAGGCCAATGGGACCACGATAGATTTGTGAAAGCTACGCGCCAGTATTTCTCCTCCACAAAATTAAAAACCACCCAACATCAAGTCGTGTCGTATTTGTACGTACCAGGGCTATAAACAAACACGCATTTAATAAATAATTGACGAATATGTTTGATTTTTTTAGTTTATATTCATTTATTGAATTTAATAAATAATTTGAACAATATTTTTATATTTATTTATTAAAAAAATTGAATATAAATAATGATTTATTTCTTATATTTATAAATAAAATTATTTAAAATTCGTTTACTTATTATTTATTTATTATTAATTTATATTAATAAAATTATATTTTATCTTTTATTTTAATTTTATCTTAATGTTTATTTATGTTCGTTTAAATTAAATAAATTTGTTTATATTCATTTAAATTTTATTAATTTAAATTTATTTGATTATGATTTACATTAAAGGTATTTTTAAGTCCAGAACATATTATGAACTTTTTTCATTAATATAAGTCAATAAATAATTAAGACCAATTTGATTATTTTAATAAAATAAACATATCAATTCGATTTGAATTCACGAGTTTACGTCAACTCAATCACCTTAATAGTTTACTCTTTAAATATTGATTTATTTTATTTTAAATGAACAATTAATTGATAATTTAATTTGAACTTATTAAATCATTTTTAACCCTTAAAGTTAACCTTAAACAATTTAAATTATCCAAAATCTCCTACTTCACATGTTTAAATAGTATCATTTAGATCTCTTTTATCCATCTTGTTTTTATCACTTTTTTATTTTTTTTAGATTGATTTAAACGTGAGTACAAATGTTGAGACCACCTTGTTTTCTTTTTTTTTTTTTATGATTTCAAAGTTTTAATCCTCAAAGACAATTAGACACAAAATAATTTATTTATTATTTATAAATAAATTTATATATTTATATATTTATTTAATATTTATAAATAAATTTATTTAATTTAATCAAATTAAATAAAAATAAAATATAATAATGTTATCACTTAAATAAATCAAATTTAAACGAAGAAAATAACTTTCTTATTAAATATAAATTCAATTCAACCACCTTTAAAAATAAATAAATTAATTAAAGATACTACGTTACTCTGATTTATCTGACGTGCTACGTTCACTCATTCCCCTTGATTTGTTTGTTGCAAATGTTATGGCCCGCTGCGCTGTAGACGACTTTTTTACTAATGGTATCTGATGACAAGTGGAAGCATGATCGTCCACTCGCGCGGGAGTTTAACAGACAAGTGCTCCATCCATGTGTTGTGTTATGCCCAATCTGCCGACCATTTTGGGAATGAGGGCAGACACAGACAAAGCCACAAAGGTTAGGGGAGGTTGAGGCGCGGCTGAGAGTCTGATGGGGCTTGGCTTGACTTAGCGCCAAGGAATGAGAAAAAATATTTTTTATTGCTTAATTTGGGTGCCACTGAAATTGGGCAACAAAAGAGAAAGATTAAGAAATGTGATGTGATTCCTAATTATTATGGACCGCTTGAGTCTTAATCCTCCTTGATAATGCCACGTGTCTTTCATAACTTGACTGTATGATCTGACTTAGGACCAAGGTTGTTAATGATTCTACAGTATTGTTTTTTTTTTATTTTCTTTTAAATATAGTGCACAACTTTATATCATATAATAATTAAAGCTAAAAAACCCTTAACTAGTATATAATAACTTATTCTATCACTTTCCTCTAAAAAACTGAATATGGTTAATATAATAATATTCTATATGACAATCTTCTAATTTGTTGCTGCTTTGTTAGCAATAAATTAGATATTTTTAAATAATGAGAACAATAAAAATATTAAAAAAAAAACATTTCAAAGAGATTTGAAAAAAAAAAGAAGAAAGAAATGAACAAGTATCTACGCGATAATTTTTCTAATTCAATAAAAGTTGAAAGAAGTGGCATATGTAATAAGGGCAAAAAAAAAAGGTTTAAAAATATTTTTCAACATGAAAGAGTCTAGAAATAAAAAGAGATTATAAATATTAAATATTAAATATTAAAATTTATTAACAATTATTTATTAAAAATAATTATATATATATCAATTATATTAAATTTCAAATTCAATTTAAAAAGCTTTAAGAATCACAAATTTATTTAAAACCAATTCAAATAATCAATGCAACTTAGTATAAGTCAAAATCATATTTACTTAATATGAGCAAATCTCTCTCTTAAAAAATATAGGCCATGAAAATAAATAAATATGGTGCTTACATGTCACCAACAGCCGTTGAAAACTTGATTAAAATTGTCCTAATCTTGAAAGAAAGACTGTAGGCCTTAAAACAGCTATACCTACATTTAAAGAAAAACTAGAAAATGATTATGATAACTATAATTAAAGAAGGAATATTTCTATATCTAAAATAATAAAAAAAGAAACTGCTCATGCTGACACGTGTCACTACGATGATGACATGGAAAAACTAGAAAATGATTATAAGTAACGAGCCAAAGATACGTGGGGCAGAGAAAGAAAGATGACTGAAGCTGAGTAGGTGAAATTGGAAACTTCAGTTTGGGATGCTAATGGATATTCGAGCTGGAATCGGCAACTTAAAATCTCACAGCTTTTGGAGAACATCACAGAAATCTATATCAGCTTATCCTTTTCCTTCTTTCAAAACTTTCTGCCCCCCCAAAAAACTCAAAGCAACCTCAACAAAACGGTGATAACATGGTACGTCATCAGTTTTAAAGGCTCATATCTATCAACTCCATCAAGAATTTCACTTAAATCTCAAAAGGGTATTTATCCTATGATTGGTTTTGTCAATCTGTCTGTTTTGTTGGAATAAATAAGTTTCCCTGTTGTTTTGAGCTACATTCCCAATTTGGTTACCTGAGAAACAAGAGAAGGACTAGGAATTGTTTTTGTTCAAGATCAGGATTCATAGCGTCCGAGCATCAAGCTCAGTGGTTGGTGACCATGATCACCTGCTCAAAAAGCAGTGATCGAAACGTCTAATCCATGATTGAGATTAATAAGCACTCATAAATTCTACTTTACTTTTCGACATCCAAGATTGGGTGAAATTAGTACTCACATGAGCTATTAGGAGCTTGAATATTTCTGGCTTTTGTGAACTTAAATCTTATTATGCATCCAATTTTCCTGTGATCGACGTAATGCTTAGGTAAAGGTGCCAACGTTATGTACTTTTCTTCTGATTTTTAAGCAATAGTGGCTGAATTTCATTGACTTGGAGAGCACATTTAACCATAAATTTCTCTAGATTAAGACTCGTGGATATGCACAATGAATACTTTAGAATTAAGATAGTGATTGTCATCTCTACTATAAAGGCAAAATGTTATACAAGAGATAGGCTTTTGCTAGTGCGCTGCTACATGCCCTTGTTTAAGACTCTTTTCGTTTTGCTTCTGTTAAGAGTTGTCATATAGTAAATTGTTGTTTCCCCTTAACGTTTCTCCTCACCGCTATATTTGTGTATGCTTTAATACATTAGCGTACAGATGGAATCATACATAATCTTTGTCCTTCCTGCAATTATGCTTGTATCAGACACTAACTTGGTGTATCATCTGGAGTCATATTTATTTAATAACTCCAATTTTTGCAAGACTGGAAAGTAAAATAACAAAATACAACATTTATTTGGTGTTAACAGATATAGCAGAAGAGTGAAGCCTTCGTTAAATATTAGCTAGATCGCGTATTTCCATTGATATTAAAAGAATTTTTGGGGATTGGGGCTAATTCATCTATGTGAGTACGAAAAATGATTTAACTATGCTATGTTGGTATAAGATAACTTTCTTATGTTTAGCTCCTCCTTTAATTTACATTGCCCTTTTATTGCTTCTTCTGCCCAATTGCTCATACAAGAATTATTCTTAAACATACCTCAGGTGATTGGGATAAGGCATGGTCAAATTTTAGGAAGCAAAGCAAAAAATCCTTCTTTTCAGGGTTTTCTCCTAACAAGTATGTTACTCGGAATCCTAGACAATCGAACTATCCCTCGTCTGAATAGGTTGATCCCATGAAGAGAACAGAGAGGCAAAATCTCATGTTATGGACCAGTCCAGGATTTACTTTAGTAGGGGCAATAATAATAGTCTCATTCCTTTGCTGTATACCATTCTTGCACCAGTTAAGTGATCTAATTTTCCCTTTAGAAAAAGCAGTCCATTTGCTGTAGAAGGATCATTGTCAGAATCAAATGAGTATATAGGGGAGAAAATAATGTAAACCAGAGTTTTGTCAGTAAATTCAGATACTGGTTGTCTTCTATTCCATTTGTTTTGTCCACAAACACTTCTTTTTTCATTTTTTTTTTCCATTTGTGTAAACTTAATGGGAGTTTTATGATGCAGGTTCATGGTGAGTGAGTCATTTTGGCGTCGTTTTTGCATATATGGAAAATTAAGAGCATCTGATCTAATTGTAAATACAAAGTTTGTTTGGACAGGTTAAGAGTTAGGAGTTAAGTGTTAAGACCTAATATGAGATCTTAGTCATCAATGAATGGTTGCTGCTATCTTGCAATTTTATGATGTGGGGGTGGAAGTAATCTAACAGAAACGCGTTCTCAACATGCTTTGTTCTAGTTTTCTGGGAAAAATAAGACACTTTTCTCTTGAATGACTGAGTTGGTTTGTAAGGAGAATATCTTTTGAAACATCCTCCTTTCTTTGACTGTTGTTGATGGTATTTTGGTGAGGATGATTGGGCGCTTTGCTGTAAGGCTGTTTAAGAGCTTATCTGCAAGACAGAACCGTTTGGTGGCCCGGAGGTCAGGGACAGATCTACAAACCGAGATCCTATACCCTGTAGATTTTGTAATAAAATTCGTTAAAATATTTTAATTCTTCTATAGTTTGCCTATTGAAAAAAAAAAAAAAATATATATATATATATACATATAAATGACGTCTTTATAAATGTTTGAAAAAATAAAATATAATTGCAATAAAAATAAA